GCAAAAAGTAAATATTTTCAAGGTATTAGTTTGAATGATTAATGGAGTCTCTCAGTTGGAGTAGCTGGTCCTATGTTTGTTTAACAACATATGTGTCAATGACAATTGTCAATTCTAGATTACAACCTGCCGTCTCATGCTGATCTGCTGAAATATGTAAATACCTTAAGAACTTACAGTCTAAAAATGCAGTGCAAAATGAATTATGTAGGTGTGCTGTGATTTTCTGCTGCGTATTTATGTGGGAGTTGGGTCAGAGCTGTTTCTCAAAAGCATCAGATATGTTCGTGGGGAAAACTTCTCCATGTTTTCTCCGACAAAAAATACACACAATTTCCTAAAAGTGCTCTGGATACATTTAATTAATTACTAGCCATGTGTTGGCTGCATCAAATAGTACTGATTGATGGTGACCAAAATTAGCTTTTGTGACCGTGAAAATGATCCTTTATCATATGCCTGATTTCCCCGTTTGTGACAGAACCTGTGCCATTATATTAACAATATCAGCATGAAGTTTAAGTCTCTCTAAATTATTACCCAGATGACATATTACATAGTGTTCACTACATGCAATTAAGTTTATGGCCTCAAGTTGATGGCTTAAACTGCTGCATCTTGGTTACAGTCATTGCTTGCTGCATCAATTGATTCCCCAGTTTTTTGCACCCAGTCCTTGCTCAGTCAAATTCCCATTAAGCTCCCAAGAAAATTCTGTGGGGTTAGGTTCATAGGGAATGACTGTCTGAGGGACTCACTGGTTTAGGTCAGGGATGGACAACCTTTGGCATGCGTGCATAACACACAGCAAACTGGGGAGAGAACAGACAGCAAAGCAGAAGATTGCAGAGCAGCCCAGGGAAGGAGGCTGGAGTGGGACTTGAGGAACTTGGGGCTTAATTTGTGGTGTGCCTGCCAGAAAGATTGGCCCCCACTGGGGTAGGTTGTTCATTGAAGCTGTTTATTGTTCATGAAACCTGCCAGATTGAAATCCCTAGAAACATAACTGAAAGTATTAGAGCATAGGTAACTAGATTGCTTTTGTTTCTACACATTACCATCATTGTCTGTCAACGCTTTCCCCTGACTGACCACCTCTTGGTGCAAGAAACCAATTTCTTTACCTCCTTAATTTCTCTTCAGTGTGCACCAACCAGGCAGCCAACTAACCTGAGTTGCATGATGGTCTATTAGGAACTATGCTGAGATCATCAATCCATGTCATGTACAGATTCAAACAACTACTTCAAACATTGACTGTTAGCAATACAACAGAATTCAATTTTTATAAACAGTGGGGGAAAGCATCATTGCCAGCTGTTCCTTAGGGGCATATGCATATTGGAACTATCCCACATTTGGACACATTTTCCTACTATTTGAATTGAATAGAGCAACATTCAGGCACCTACAGGTTTCCATAGTTACACCAAAAGACATTTCGATATGCATGACAAAGATTCCATTTAGAAACCATAATAATGAATAATTTGGAGTAAGATGTATGGCACTCCCACTACTGGTTAATATATATTTTGTTTAGGATATAAGAAAAACCACACAAATAAATAGTTTGACTACAACATGCCTGTAGCAGGGTGGTCTGGCGTTTAAGGGGGGCAGCCAACCCTGGGGTAGGAGCCCAGCTGTGAGCGATTAGCTGAAGGGGAGAGAGCAGGGAGATTGAGCTGAGGGACAAAGCAGTTGCAGACAGAAGGCAGACTGAACCCAGAGGAGCTCACCTCTAGAAACAGCTAGAGCTAAAAGGCCCTCTCCTGCCACCTACAGAAAGACTGAAGGTTTGCTTTACTCATTTGTTTGTTTGGACCAAGAACTATTGTGTTGTGTTATAAAGACTAGCTGAGGACGTCCCAAGGAAGCAAAGCTAGACAGTGAGGCTGAAGGTATCCAAGTCCACTTGCAGCCTATTGTTTGGACTGTCTGAAAGACTCCTAAGGGGACAAAGCCCACCTGCACAGCAGCAGGTATATCAACCTGCTCACAGCATCACTCCAGCTACCTTAATTTTGCCTACACTGTCTCTTTGAACTTGTAACTGTGTAAGGCATTACACATTATACATTATCCACATGCAAACAAAAACTTCTTGTAGATTGGGTTGGGGATTACTATAGAATTGTATGGCTCACAAAGCACCTTTCCTAAGGTTACTTAGACCACATGGTAAAGAGAAGGGTGGTTTTTTCACCCACTTACAGAAAGCATTTATCCTTCTACCATTGACTAGATCAGCAGTGCTTAATCTCCAGTCTATGGGGACCAGATCCAGTCTGTGGAGCCATGTCACCTGGCCCACAAAGTCCCTCATGGGTCTGGAAATTTGGAGGCAGGGGAGTGATGGCCATTAAACACTAGTACTGCTCCCCTCCTCCTTCCCCTCTTCCCCTGCCTTCCCCTTCCCCTCCCACCAAATTTCCAAGCTCTGTGGGCCAGATGCCATAGCCTCATGTTTCAGATCAGGCCATAGGACAAGATCCAGTCTGCACACTGACTCTGCATCACTCATCTGGCACATGTATTTTGTCAGTTAATTCTTGCTTTAAATAGAGGGCATGCCAAGAGATGGAAGAGCCTTTATTTTTTTTCAGAGGAATGTGCACTTTGCTAAAAATGTAGATCGTATTTGATATTCTGTTTTACAGACAGTAAATGTTATGCCACATCTAACAAAATGGTATCTGTGCAGCAATAATCAAGCATTTCATAATTAATAAATATAACTAGCTTGTAGAATGACATAAAAATTGAACCTCTGAAGGGAAAAATACATCCTGAGCTTTAATATTATACCTGAAGGCAGAGCAAGTTACTCAATCCAGAAGCTATTTTCACTTGAGGAATTTGATTTTTATTGTCACTGGAGCCATATTATATATGTGTTACTATCTCTTGTGATTATGACCTATGTTTCTCACATTTTCCAATCTCTGTTCTCTCCAAATACTTATTTTATTGATATTATTTATTATTTCTAGTACAATAACCATGGAGGGTCTTTTCTTGGCTGACTGCACTCTCAGAACAAGAACGCTGATGTCACAGGACTTCAGCTAGATTTTTGCTATCAGATATGTGGGTTGTGAGGCTCAGAGTACTGTTCCCCACGAGAGGAATGCAAGCTGAAGACAATCACACCATAGTCTTGCCTTGTTTGCTACATTATTTCTCTCTTTAGAAAACAGCATGGGCACATCTACACATGCTCCCCACAGCTCAGTTGTTACTGCACCATCATTTAGTACTTGCATTACAAAGTACTAAATGGTGGTGCATAGTTATTCGTAGCAGCTATATTGACACAGTTACGCACTATAATGAGGTAGCTCATCACCATGGAGTCAGCATTTACAGTTTGTACCCACTGATGCTACAGTACCGAAGCAACAAGCTACAGCAATGTAGCATCTCATGTAGACACTCCCAGTGTTAAATAATCCCTGAATTGGGATTTTTAGGGGGAGTAGATTCGGAGAGCTAAATACAGAGATCAAGAATTTACTTAGAGAGTGGAGTGCCAAAGAAAATTTTCCCACCTCCTATGCTGTTTGTAGCTCTAAATTCAAAAATTTCCTAGCCTCAGGGAACATATGTTCTTCCCTTTCCTAATTATTTTCCAGGGCTTGCAACAATCTTTGCTTCATGTTGTGCTGCACTTTATTTACCTTGACCTACAGATTTAAGACCTTTGCCTGGCTTCCAAACTTCTCCACCTCCTTTAGAGTTTCTGAAACTACTGAGGACAAATGTCCAATGAAATGCCTTATTTTGCATGCATCTCGTGGACTCCAGCAGCTAACAAAATAGAAAATAAATATGTCCTAAGTGCAACACAGATAAAAATCCCGTTTTAACAGTCCACAAATAAACCAGAAATACTTGTCTGATTAGTGTAAGCCTCATACTGAAATATTTTGAATCATTCATTGTAATTTATTTTTACAATTTAGATATTCCTTCCTTCCCATCTTTTGATATAAGTGGATCTTTTGGACCTGGTAGCTGTTCCTCCTCTCTTTTTGTGAGCTCACAAACTTGACTGTCCTTATGAAAGAGGAAAGATAATTGCGTTGAACTGAAAAGACTTTATTTTGTGGGGATTGAAGGATGAGTATGTCTCAGTTTGGAAAACTACTTACCTTACATATCCTGGGTCTGGTCTCCCCAACATATTTTCAAGAATGCTTTCTCAAGAACATGCATTTTATTTTTCTTCAACAAGAATATGGTTCATAAAATGAATGAAACATATTGGAAAAAGACACGTCTTAGCCATCACTTTATTTGGCTTTTCTGCTGCCTAAGTGGAGTCTGACTAAACAAAAACAAATGCTAACACCCGGCATGGAAGTAGATGATCATTTTTTAAACCTGAATGCATTCTGCTGACTACTACAGAAGCACAAGTACATTTTTTTTTACCTTCATGGAGTTCAATTCTCTCTCTGCAGCATTCTTATGCTGAAGGCTTCGCAGTGCTTTTTGCCTGTTAACACCATGCTGTCGTTCTCTTAATCCTGCAGGGAGAAAAAAAGAGAGGTAGCAAGTTACTTTTAAGACTCAAATAGAGGATAAAACAGCATCAGTTGAGGGCAAAAGGGTATCACTAAGTGATCTGAAGTGTCTGGAATCCACCCATCTCCAAGACCGCATCTTTTCTTCTGGATTGGAGAGGCACTAAAAACATCTCTAGAATGCTGCTCCTAGTATTGGTATATAGGTAAGCTGCAATTGTATTTAGACATGATCCAAATCCCACTGAACTCAAGGAAATGTCCTACTGGTATTTATTTCAGTGGCTGAAGATAACAGGGACTGACTACATTTGCTCTTTTTCAGTCTGTAGAGCCTAGGACTAGAAACTAGTGTACCATATAGAGACATTATTAGCACTTGCACACATGCAGGGAGGCTGCTCCAATGTGCTGTAAATCTAGCACATTGAATCAATCCAGTCTGCCGGAGTGCAGAAATTAATGCGCTCCAGCATCACATGTATTAGCATCCCTGTGCTGAAAAAGCGTGGCAGGGCACTTTAAATTAAAGCTCATGGAGCGAGCTCTAATTCAAAGTGTCCCACTGCCATTTTTTCAGCCTGGGGACACTGATACAATGACACTTGGGAGCTTTTAATTAGCACAGCACAATAATTAAAGCACCCCCACGGCCTCGTGGAGCACATCTATAAATGCCCTATGAGCCTCATCTTCTTAGACTTAAGACAACTTCCATGAAAGTAGCATAAAGTGGCTTTAGGAATGTGATTTAAAGCCATGCTAAGAACCACTGTGGTAATCTGGTTTATCTTTTTTCTTCCTTTTTTTTTTTATGTTCTGGAGACCATGCTGCCTGTGGTTTCTGTAGCCATGCATTTTTAATGCCTAATGTTATCCATGGAGTTTTACATAAATTATGTTTCTATTTTGTAGGAAGCATCTAATAAGCAATCAGAAATTATTAAAATAAGTCATTCTTTAAATGAAATAGAATCTTCATGTTATTGGCTAATCAGCTCTGCAGCAACAATTCGCACCACAGTTAAAACATAGGTTTCAGCTATGTGTTATGCAAGTTGGCAGTTTATACCAAACAAAAGCTTATTTCCCATGCACCGCGGTATTACCAGAGGGATGGGAGTGAAGATCTTCTGACTGCAGAAGGTTCATATTAAGCTTTGTATACAACACTAAGTGCAATTTATCCCCACTAGTGTAGCAGGAGGGGTGGAAGGAGACGTGTCGAGTAACATGTGAATCCCTCATCATACTCTCCCCGATGAGAGTTAGTCTCCTCAGAGTGCCGGTGTGGGGTAGAAACTGCAGATTACAGCTGGGACTCTACAGGATGCCCATTGGCAGAGGCCATCTAAGGTGATTCAATGACAGGATATTCTTCAGTGCTCATAGTCACATAATCTCCAGTCTAGATTGTCCAGTTGGAGAGAAGTGGCAACTGGCTTTAGGACACTCAGATTTCATCAGAGCAGTATCTGCCAAGAGGATTTTGTGCTGGTGTAACTCTTCTGCCAACTCTAGCCAGTGTGCGCTATACTAGTCATTTTACCAGAGGAAGAGAAAGCTGTTGTCAGCAAAAGTCCTAAGCAACAAAAAAGGGTGAAGAATCCAGTCATGAGGATTAGGAAGGAGAAAAATCAGAAGCAGAGGTCAATCCGAAGTTTTTTCAAGGGTCAATGACAAAAGTTGTAGTAGTTGCATGTTACGTGTCGGAAATCTCCAGGAAGAAGTGGTATAAATAGGTCTTGATCTTAGGAATGGTTGGGATGTTTTGAATAAGAGCTGTTCAGGAGTTGTCTAGCAACACACAGCTCCTGGGGACAAATTTACTCCTTCCCAGGTTATTGTGAGTAAGAATACTCCCAATTCTTACTCCACTCCACTCCACTGAGAGCTCTTGAGCTGGGGGCACCCTTTGTTTAAAATGCACGTAGCTACTGGCAGGGCAGTGCACATAAATAAGAGTTCCTTAACCTTGGAATTCAGTTTTCAGCACTCTGACAAAGAGATTGAATGGCTCAGCAGGTCGTCAGGGGAAGCTGCAAAACTTGCCTACATCTACAAGCATCTGGGGAAGTAGGTATGGCATGAATTGGTTTTGCTGGGAGGATGGAGTATTTTTAGTTTATTAATACTTGAAGTAAATGTAAATATTTAGGTAAGTAGGAGCTTCTGGCTGGTCACCTCTACCTCTCCTTTCTGTAGTTTTAATTTCTGTAAATATGCAATAAGTTGCAGAGAAAGTTAATGAAAGGAAAGAGGTAGAATGAATGTAGAGGTTTAAAAAAGCACAGTGCGTGGTTTTAAAAAGTTAGCACTAACACACAGTTATCAATACTGTCTTTTTCTAAGTATAAGAGGAAATCCACAGTTTTCTCAGCTGTTTCTGTAAAGTAACGGAGTAAATGCTGATTTTTTTTTTAAATTCAAACCACCCCCACACAGTGTAAGGAAAACCAAAAGGCTGGATTAAGATAAATGGAAAACTGAGCAGGCATTTTCTACCTGGTAGCCTTTTCTTATACTTCATGCTAAGGACTTGCATTTTAAGTCCAGGGAAGAGAAGAAATGATGTTGGGGTGGGAAGGTCAAAGGATAAACTGTCAAAGTGTGTATCAGATGTAAGTTGCTGCTCTCAAGGTAAGCTCTCAGCTACAATCTACAAAACAAAACCTATCCACTCCAAACAGATCCTTGTGCCATGGAGCTCAGCATTATAAAGAGGTAAGAGAACATCATGATAGCAAATGTTTCTATTTTCTGCTCAATCATATAGGCTGGGCTTTTTACATATTATTTTGCATAGTGCCCTGGGTAATGGCATTTTCAAGCTACCAGGGGAATCCCAGTGTTGGAAGACACTCATACTTGTTGGCAAACCATTTTATACAGCTGTGATAGATTACGAATGTGGTGACAAAACATCTACCAACTTCCCTGATATTATTCAAATGTATTCTTGGAAGCCTCACATTTGCTAATTCATGTGAACTGTAAAAAAACAGAAATATTGAGCTTCTGAAAAGAGCTTCAAGCTCCTCATTTAAAATGAGGACACTGCATGAAACAACAGTTTAGATTAGAAGTAAATGTCAGGCACAGAACATTCATATGGGTTCTTGTTGCTGACAAAATGTGTTGTGCCATAATAGTTTTTGTGAAACAAAATATAAAGTTCAATATTTCCCTGATGTGCAACCATGGTAGACATGATGTTTCAAGCATTCCCATCTCTGTGAGGAGAAGAAAAGATTTATTCCTACCTAAGGTGAAGTTCTGAGTTTTCTTTTACTCCCATATGCCTTCCCTTTTTCACTGCAGCTTACCTTCACAGCCACTACATTTGTCCAGTCATAACCTCAGCTCTTTACATGGGTGCGTGCAGAAAGAAGAGCCCAGTTAAAAAGACTTCAAAGCTGTTGGCAGCCTTATCTTTGCTATACTACATCTCCAGCCCATTTATTTTTACCCATCATTGTTTGTTGGACCAAGTGAAATGCTTCTTGGCAAGGCTTTTGGACAAAGTGGTCATAGACCAAAGTTTTCATAATTACAGAGTGCAGCTGAAACTGAGTCACAAGTGCCTGGATGTCTGCCTTGGGCTGACTGGCAACACACTCATTTGATGGCTCAGAAGATGATGGGCTCAAATCAATTTGCAAAGACAGGGGTGCTGCTGAGAGAGAGAGAAAGAGATGGAGTTATGTGCTCAGTATAATTTGTACAAGCAAGGGGTCTGCATAAAGCTTAACAAACTCAACAAGTTGGGCCCACTGGATGAATACTTTTTGTCTTAACTGACACTGCATTGGGATTACATTGGTAGTGCTGGGAGACAGCATGGTGATAACACCTTAATGAGATCAAGTGCAGTTAAAAGTTTGAGGGAGCATCTGTGTAGTGCTGGAAGTAATTCTGTGAGGACACGAAGCAGCAGTTAACATCCCGTATTTTTCTAGGGAAATTCTAATGCTAACTTTTTAAAAATCTATTTCTCTACACTGAACCCTTCTCTCTGCTCAAACTCTCATCCACACTACCTTTTATTCCCTAATTTAATCCATTGCTTGTGTTTTTGTTACCTTCCTTTAAATTACTCCTCAAAACAAACTTCTTTTGACGTCTCTTTAGTCTTTGCTTTAAAGAAGGGTTTGGTAGAGAATTGCTGGAACATACAAATACTAGAAAGAGCAAGACAACTTCAGAAATTCGCCACTCAACCATCTTTCAGTTGACTTTATCCCTAATCCTGTACATTCAAACTGTCTATTAAATCATAAGCCTTTCTTTGCCTGCTTTCTAAAATGTCTAGAACACTTCTCATAGAATATATATAATACTATAAAGAGTAATCACCTTCACCGATTTCAGTGACCATGTTTACTGTAGACTTAGAGATATTCTCAGATGATGCTTCTGAGACTTCACTTGCATGTGAAATGGCAGGCTCCCCACTTCCCACATCTCTAGTAAAGGAGGCTCTCAACATTTTATCTTGAAATGGAATGTTTATACATTGTTACCATGGCATCCGCACTAAGATTCCAACTTCAGAACTTTTTTTTAAGCCATAGCAATCGTTTTGCTCTAATGATTATGTCTGAAGATACTTATAAAAACTTTGTGTTAGGCATTTTATCTCTATATAAGCCATATGCAGATAAAGGTCATCGTTCAAGAACTTTTAGCAAGCTTTATTTATACTGTTTAACAAATTCCACCCATTTAAATAATTTAACTCAGATATTTGCAAATCACTTGTGAAAAAATATGTAAAAAATGCTAAGAAAGCTCAGAATTCACTTCTCAAATATGCAGCAGGTCATCCAGCAAAACCAGGGAAAACCAGGCTGGATACTTCTGATATATCTACCGTAAACACCAAAACCGAATTCATTTAAATTCATTGAAACTCATGTAAAGGTTTCTTTAGCTACTTTTTAAACAAGTAAAAGAAACGTGCCTAAAGTGTTTGTTTGTATGCAGGTCACCTGTATAACATGTAAAATATTGGGTGGAAGGCTTCAGGGGGAGCAGAAGTAGACAAATACCATGTGTTTTTGAAAAGTCCAGCCTCTGCACACAAATTCTTGATACACTGATGTTACTGATATCATAAAATAAATTGCAGAATGTTGTATTTGCTGATTCTGATGATGAATCAGTGCATAGCATATATTATTATCTAGAAAGACTTCACAGACTTCATAGCTTTTCTCTGAAGCTACTTCTTAACTGCGAAAAATAGGTGTGGAGATACCTATGTAATATAAATGAAGAAACCTAGTAGGGAAGGCACAGGTAGTATTTACCAGGATAAAGCTGGTTGAAATCAACTCTGTCCCTATTGGTGGCTGCCCTCAACCAGCTATGTCCTGGTAAATGCTACCTGTGCCTTGCATCCATTAGGATTCCCCATTTACAAACTAACTCTGTTGTAAAAGTCACACCTGTTTTTTTGAAGTTGTGGCATACATTAAGAAGCATTAGGAGGGCTTTTCTTTCACATTATGCTAACATGATTGATAACATTGATATGCTTATCTATTAAGAGGCGACCTGAGAGGAAGAAAGCACCAGCACTGCTCAGTAGCATCATAAGCATAAGCCTTTTAGCATGGGTCAGAGCACAACAGGGCTGCAGTGAGAAAACAGCAGTAGCCATGCCTTTCATTCAGTACCCTTTTCAGAGAAAAATTAAGAAAGTGTGTGAGCTTGGTTGTACAAGAATGCCCCATGTTTTGAGGCAGTTTCACTGGGGAAGATTTTCAATCTGAGTAAACCTAGCAACCTGAAATCATTTTTGTCTATACAAGAATCCTCACGTAAACAAAATAGAACCAATATTTTCTTAAGTTGTCAGGATGGATATCCCTCTATTATAAGTAGCATCATGAGATTTGTTAACTGAATTATCTTTCAGTGCTTGCACATCTTGAAGCAGTAACTAGCTGCCTGCAGAGATGATTACAGGATCCTCCATGAAACGGCCGAATGAGTTCTGGTCTGCTATCAAAAAGCCAGAAATTATAAATCTCTCATTATATGTGCCATTAGAAGCAAGGCTCTCATCAGGAGGGTCTGCAGGAGTGCTACTGGCATCAGACCCATAACTTGAAACCCTTGCATAAGAGGGAAAAAAATCTGTTTTATTATGCATTGCTATTATTCTTTATCCCTGCTTAATAAAATAAAGTGCCCTCTCTATGCAATTACCCACAGCTTATCAACCATCCTGAACAGTTATAATACGGTAGCCTTTTTCCCCATTAATTTCTATTCACGTAGGGAAGAACTTAAGCATATGTTTCTCTGTGCAGGCCTGACTTATGCTAACAGGTCCTCTCAGCTCCTTGAAGCACTGACTAAGCTCTGCTCGCCTGCTGAGGCTCAACTAGATGGATAAAAGATTCAGATGAAAGATGCAATGAGGATAATACAGGATGATTTTAAATGGTATAAAATGGATATCCATAGCTTAAGTTATATTGGCCAGAGGAGCTCCTTGATTTCAGCTTTTCTGCAGTTCTTAATTCACAATCATGAAAGTCAGAGGGGAGTAAGGGACAGGCTCGTTTGGGTCTAAAAGACACGACTCTTGAAAGGCATGCCACGGAGTTAGTCTTAGTGGAGTTACAACCTGTTCATTCTCTGTTATTTGTTTTTCTTCACTGCATGAATCCTGGAGTCAGAATACAAGGCTGTTACATCCCATATGCCCATTTTTTGACTGCAGCTGTAAAAGATCAGAATGAAGAAAAAAAAAGAGGGGGAGGTCCTTTATCACTGCGCCTTCACTTTTCCGCCATTTTAGAGCATTTATCATTATCTCTATTATTATTACTATATCCCTTCCCACCAAGTAAATTGTACTTAGCCTTCAGCAAGAACTAGAGATGCTAGAGGAATGGCTGTGCTAATCTTGACCTCTCTGAATGAGAGCATCATCTTTACTATGCTCTATGATCAGGGCTGTCTGACTTCTAAGTGGCTGGGGTCTCTTGGATCATGCTAGCAGGGGCCCTGGAGATTGCATGCACCTGTCTGCTGAACTTCATGCTCAGGTGCCCCTCCACCATTGCATTGTGTGCTCCCCCTGCTGCACTATGCACCCATACTGCTGCTCCTCATGCTCCCCCACTGTACCACACACCGAGGCATCTCCGCCCATTGCTGCTTCCCACATCTCCCTGCTGCACCATGCTCCTGAGTGCCCTGACTCCAGCTGCGAGCTCCCCTGCTGCATCATGCTCCTCAGGCACCCTGGGGAGCAAGCTCCTTCAGCACAACAGGATGCACTGCCCCAACCCCTGGGGCAGAGGAAACCTGGAGCCCCTCAGGGTACTGCTGCAGCCAGAACAATGGGAAAAATGGTGGCAGCTCAGGGACTGATAAATGCAGAGAAATGCCAGGTGCTACACCTCAGGGGGAAAAAAACCCACATCACTACACTCACTAGACACCATGACTGAAAGAGACTTGGGGGTCATGACTGAGCACAAGCTGAACATGAGCCACCAAAGTGTTACCACAGCTAGCAAAGTGAGCAAAACTCTGGCTTGCATTCACTGATGCTTCTCAAACGAGTCCCAGGATGTCATCCTCCCGTTGTACTCAGCCTTGGTGTGGCTGCAGCTCAAGTACTGCATCCACTTCTGGGCTCCACAATCCAAATAAGTTGTGGAGAAGCTTGAAAGAGTCCAGAGGAGAGCCATGCACATGATCAGAGGGCAAGAGAATGGGCCTTATGAAGAGAGGCTGAGAGTTATGGGATTCTTCATCCTGGAGAAGTGAAGGCTCAGCAGTGACTTAGTGGCAACCTATAAGTACATCAGGGGTGTGGAACAGATCTGGGGGAATGGCTATTCACCAGAGCGCCCCAAGGGATGACAAGTTCTAACGGTCACAAACTGCTGAAAGACCATTTTAGGCTGGACATACGGAAAAACTTCTTTACTGTCTGAGCCCCCAAGGCCTGGAATAGATTCCCACCAGAGATGGTGCAAGCACCTACAGTCAGCTCTTTTAAGAAACATTTGAATATTTATCTTGCTGTGATCCTTTGACCCTAGCTGACTTCCTGCCACTTGGACAAGGGGCTGGAACCAATGAACTTGCACAGTTCCTTCCAGACGTAGTGTCTATGAAATCTATGACTGCAATTTAACTGCCCCTGGGCCACCTGTGGGCCCCCCATTGGAAAGCCCTGCCCTAAGATCATTAACTTCTTGGCTCAGCAAGGTTCTGAAATCTCACTTTCTTTTCTTCTTAGTAAGTCACAGGGTTTCAGATAAGGATTGAGCTGGCTAGCTGTTTTCTTTGTATTACAAACGAAGTACTACAATAGCATGTGAATATTTTTCATCAAGATAATGGAACTTTGGTATGATTGGCCCACATTTTGCCAGAGAGGTGGTGCAGAGTGATGATATTCCATCCACAAACAGCCCACAAAGAATTCATACTACGTGGGGGCAGCTTCCCCTCCAGGTAACCTCACAGGTGTGATTCCTGTGCTAGGACCTGTATACCAGGATTGCAGTAGGGGGCACATTAAATGGTTTGGGGAAGATAGGGAAGCAGCCCTCCACTATTTAAGGTTTTTAGGCATTGCTCAGATGCTTGTGAGAACTGAGCCCATAGGAGGTAATCTTTTTGAGTGCATTTCAATATAAATGTAATTACTGATGGCTAGAAAATGGCATTTAGAGGTTTGTTTTGGGGAATTGGCTTGTAGGTAAAGTAGACATGCATTAGAAGAATTGTTCAGGGCAAAGGGCAATGGCAAGGTTTAATTGATTTCTAAAAGCCTGTTTTTACAGTTTCTTCAAGGCCCACTGTGTTTGACACAGGCAAGCAGCAAGCAGACATGTACCATACTGTTGCATATCCTGTGGACTCTGCTTCATTGGCCAGGTCATAATGCCAAACCGTAGAGCTCTTGAGATTTACAGCTTTGGTGGACAGGGCAAATTAAGAGGCCCAGTAAATAACCAAATTAAGACATAAGCCATGTGATGAGTTTGGGGAAAAAAGGAATATGCTAACAGGACAGAACATGGACAGTATGATGACCGCAGGGAGACCAATCAACAGTGTCCAGAGCTGAAGATTCAGAGGGGAGAAAGGACATAAAAGGAGGGATTTCAGAGCAGCAAAGGGTCCCTGAGGGGGGAACCTGAGGACACCATGGGCAAAGGGCATACCACCAGCCCATCTCATCCACCCCACTGGTGGGGGTGGACCTTGGCCTCCGACCTTCTGGCTGCTGACATCTGACATTCAAGAGAGAACAACAGAATGAAACTTGCGTACTGGCCAGACATATCTGGACTATGTGAACCCTCGGACTGGTAGATATAGATCTGTTTGCATTATTCTTATCAAATATCACTGTGTCTGAATAAAATGTGCCTATTATCGAATAAAGAGGTTGTAGTCAGTCTGAGGGTTTGGGTCCACACAGAACAAGGTATATGGGTCACCAATTTAGT